TCGCCCACTGACGGATGACTTACGATCCCGCCTCGGGCTTTTAATAAATCAACAGCGTATCGCTCCTCCCGAAACTTAGCCATCAGTCTTCTTACAAGGCCGAAGGTGGACCTTGCCAGAGAAAATGCTGGTAGGCGTAAACTTCCGTTGTCCTGTCGCCATGAACAAGAGGTTCGGTGTCGTTCCTATCTGGACAATCGATCTCTCTCAGCTACGTCACGATTGCTTGTAAAAGATCCCTCGAGCTCACATTCACCCTACAAGATATTCTACGTCGCAAGTTTTACGTTCTGTGAAATACCTCGCAAGAGGATCTTTCTAGTCCTTGAAACCACTTCAACAGGAATCTAAGGATGTGAGGTTAAGGAAAGTGCGGTTATTTGGATGTTAGGTATGTGGGTTATAGAGCTGTGGGATCATGTAGGATTATAGGAATCTAGGAATATAACAATGTGAAGTAAGACCTATATGTAAAGATCTGAACATGTGGACCTGATGACCCAGGGACTTAAGATTAATTATGACCATATGTGAATATAGAAACCTAAGAACTTATAAGTCTAGCAATCTAAGAAATCTGAACACGTGGACCTGATGACTCAGAGCCTCAGGACTAATTCTGACCATATGTGAATACACCATATATGACCACATATGAAACCTAAGAACTTACGAGTCTAGCAACCTAAGACATTAACAAGAATTTAACAATCTACCTGTTATCTACCAGATGTATCTACATATATATATGTAAGAAGCGAGAAATTTGTCGACAGAACGATGTGAAGCTATATGAAATGATTTGGGTATGTTGCAGCTGTACATACAGCTTTTGTAAACCCAGCGTGTTTCATAAAATCCGTATGCTGTCCGATTAGACGCGTTTACGGCGCACGACTATAAACGAGAAGTTGTAAATCCCGGCATATGAATGCTCATATCCGGTGGCTTTACGTTCAGGGCCCGTTGGTCGGCCGGGAAAAGGTAGCGGCCTGTAATACGGAAGACGGTGATAATAGCCACATATGACTCGCCTCGTTGCATCCTGGCATCCGATAGCCTCGAAAGAATGAATCCAGGTTATCCAACTGGCCCGAGTAATTTTTCTCCCGGTACGTGAAACCACCGGTCGCTGCGAGAACTTCTACCGCTGAAATAGATCGTAATAACGTTACCTAGACCCTTTCGTGGCGTGAAATTTTACGAAGTTACCAACGGAACGGTCCGTGACTATCTCCAGGGAGCTTTATTAATCGCGAGAGTACCTCAAGATACAGCGCACTCTTATTATATTACCAACATTTATACTATCGATCGAATTTCCTTTCACTGACCTGCGCGTCGGGAAGTGTAAACTCTATTCTCTAATTTTCTTTACTAAGTGGAATTCAATAAATTCTACAGTTTTAGTGTTCCTGTCTGTTCAGTGGTCTAAATCCGTTCTGAGGTTGTAAAGGTTATAAAATTGTTACACTTCTGAATTCTGAATTTTAAAGCTGTTTGGAGAAATTCAAAATTCAAACTTCTTAAATTTCTAAATCCACAAACTCCTTACTCACCAAGTTCTCAAATGTCCAAATTCTACACTCTCCAAATTTCTAACTCCACAAACTCCTTACTCACCAAGTTCTCAAATGTCCAAATTCTACACTCTCCAAATTTCTAACTCCACAAACTCCTTACTCACCAAGTTCTCAAATGTCCAAATTCTACACTCTCCAAATTTCTAACTCCACAAACTCCTTACTCACCAAGTTCTCAAATGTCCAAATTCTACACTCTCCAAATTTCTAACTCCACAAACTCCTTACTCACCAAGTTCTCAAATGTCCAAATTCTACACTCTCCAAATTTCTAACTCCACAAACTCCTTACTCACCAAGTTCTCAAATGTCCAAATTCTACACTCTCCAAATTTCTAACTCCACAAACTCCTTACTCACCAAGTTCTCAAATGTCCAAATTCTACACTCTCCAAATTTCTAACTCCACAAACTCCTTACTCACCAAGTTCTCAAATGTCCAATTTCTACACTCTCCAAATTTCTAAATCCACAAACTCCTTACTCATCAAGCTCTCAAATCTCCAAACTCTAAACTTATTAAATTTCTAACTCCACAAACTCCTTACTCACCAAGTTCTCAAATGTCCAATTTCTACACTCTCCAAATTTCTAAATCCACAAACTCCTTACTCATCAAGCTCTCAAATCTCCAAACTAGAAACTTCCCAAATTTCTAACTCTACAAACTCCTTACTCACCAAATTCTCAAATGTCCAAATTCTACACTCCCCAAGTTTCTACACCCCTAAACTCCTTACTCATCAAATTTTCAAATTTCCAAACTCGAAACTTCCCAAATTTCTAACTCCACAAACTCCTTACTCACCAAATTCTCAAATGTCCAAATTCTACACACTCCAAATTTCTACACCTAACTTCCTAACCTCCTAACTCCCCTTTCCACATCCCCAAATTCAAAAACCCCAAATATCTACACCCCTAAACTCCCCTTCCTACATCCCCAAATTCGAAACCCCAAATTTCCAAACCCCAATTCCCAAAAAATTCAACTCTAGAAGTATAAAATATCTCCCTACGAAAGTTAACTAAAGGAGCTTCATATCTCTGTCCATATCTTCGTGGTTCTGTCGGAATGTTATTTCGCGAAAATGTTAGATTTGAAACAATTCTCTGATACTCGTACGATCTTCTTACGGATGTGCTCTTACGGACGAGGATAATGGATAACCAGGTTGTATCGAGCATGCTGTACCTAGAGCGGCTTATCGCAAGCTCGCAGAAGGATGCCCAGGGGCGGCTTATCGACTCTCAGCCTTGACAGGTTTCCACGTCCTCTCCGGAACGCTTGTAGAAGATCGTCCAGAGATGATGAGCGTTGAACGAAAGTCCTTGGAGACTTTTTGGGGGTCTCGAAGGGAAGTCCACGATTTATAAGGTAGATAAGAAATCAACCTTTAACACCTTATCGCCGACCGTATGAACTATGTGTTCATTGCACGGATTTTAGGCAGGGTGTAATAGAGATTTTGCGAATCTTTTTGTCGCATAAGATCTTTATAATGTAATAGACGCAACTATGAAATTTAATCACTTTATGAATAAAATACAACTACTGAATTACAATAAAATTAGGTTACATACAAACTTATGTTCTTGAGTTAAATAAATTTAGGTTAAAATTAACCTCAACCATGATTAGAATTAATTTGCTGTCGAATCAATACTTTGACCAAAATAATCCACAATTCTGGTTCTAGCTTTGTGAGTCTTTGGTCACGGAATGCACACACCCCCTAAATTGATCATACTATTACCATTTACTGTTTTATTAAATTGATGTAGTCCATCGTTTCATGTAATTTATTAACAGCAAATAACCGAATATCGACAAGTTTCAATATTTCGCAATCGCAAACATTTCAATATACGCGTATCGATTCCGCGCAAAGTAGCGTCAAAGGGATGAATTTTCTACGTCGTTGTCTTTTTATCGAGGTACCGGTACAGGAAGAGCGCAAAGAGTCGCTGTGTTCATGCGAGGCAGTGTATCAACGATCGAGAAAATTCCTCGGTCGTTCGTTGGCGTGTACCGATTTTCCGCCACGGATCAGCGGTTTCGTTCGTCCTCTTATTTTGCTCGAACCAGTCACGTTCACGTTCCATGTTGGTCTTCTCGGGATTTCGGACACTGTTCCCAGACTCCGGGCTGCTTAAATCAGCAGCGAGTTCATTGCACGCGAGATTTGCGGAGTGCCAGCGCTTTGCTCGTGGATTACGCAAATTCGACAGCCGTCGACGGGATTCCGGCTCGCTGTCCACTGTGTTCGTTTCGCGTAAAAAGACGGACAAACGAGATCTTCCATGCTTGCGAGCAAACTAAGAAACCGGGGATGTCGAAAGGCTGGAGTAAGCTGCTGTCGTGTGGGGATTTAGAGCAATCATGGGTGCAGGTTTATTTTGCTCTAATGGTATGCACTGACATTTTTCTGGTATAAGTATTTGTTGTTCTTAGGGTTTTCTTTGAGGTAATGATGTTGGGGGACTATTCAATGGGGTGGGTTGTGAGAGATATTAACCAGTTGACGGTGGAATTTAGTTTCAAAAGGTCGCCATAGGGTGCGGAATTAAAAACAAGGAACGACGTGTATACACGTCGAACGCACTCAACTGGTTAAGTATGGTATGTAGTATTGGAGTGTGTAGTATGTACATATGTGTTACACCTTATGATTGGAAATCCCACCTTTCCAAACTTCCACTTTCCTAAATCCCAAGTACCCGAATCTCAAATCTTCAAATCTCTAAGTGTCAAAATTTCCACCCTTCCAAATTCTCACCTTCCCAAATTCCTCTGTTCCCAAATTTCCACTCTTCCAAACCCCTATTTCCTCGAATTCCTATGTTCCCAACTTCCACCTTTCCAAACTCCCATTTTCCCAAATTCCAAATGCTCGAATCTCAAATCTCCAAATCGCAAGTTCTCAAATTTCTAACCTCCCAAATTCTCACCTTCCCAAATTCCTCTGTTCCCAAATTTCCACTCTTCCAAACCCCTATTTCCCCAAATTCCTATGTTCCCAATTCCCACCTTTCCAAACTCCCATTTTCCCAAATTCCAAATGCTCGAATCTCAAATCTCCAAATCCCAAGTTCCCAAATTTCTAACCTCCCAAGTTCCCTTTCAGCCCATCACGTAGTCCAAGTAATTAAATCCGTAATAAGCCTAACAAGTCCCATACCATCATGAATGACAAACCCCTAAATTAGAAGCGTTTTCAAACTTTCCGACAACTAGCGAAACTCATCAAGCCGATAGTAGCTCTGACAAAAGCGTTCGTGAGTTTGATAGTAGCCTAATCGTCCGTTTAACGCGATGATGCACCGGGTGGTGTCCGTCGATTCCATTATCGAGGAAATGAAAAAAGTCGACAGGCAACAAAGTGGATTATTGAGTCTGTACGTGGGTGTACTTACAGATTGTAGTGCACGTCCGCCATGTTCGGTCGATAGCGAAGCGCCTGGACGAACGCCTCCTCCGCCTCGGCGACACGTCCCTGGGCGCTCAGGACGCTGCCCAAATTACCATAAGCTGCAACAATCACAAACGGGACGTTCGTTACAATACCACGGGAAAAACCTACGGGAAGAATGGAGAGAAAGTACCGAAGGGTAAATCGTGAGAGCGGGGCGATTTTCGACGGGGAACCGCACCGGGGATTTTGATGGAAGTTGGAATGTAGATCAAACGAGTTTTCATTCTTGATCTGCTTATGAAACTTGCTTTGAAACGAATTGCTCGCTGAAAGCCACTTTCCCAATCGTGAACCGTTTTACGATCAGCCGAAATTGCTGATTCGAGGATTGGGGTTGCTGTACGTCAAAATGCTGGAATAAAGCTGCTTTGCGTTAAGGATTTAACGTCGGTTGCGGAGAAATTGAACAATTTACTCGGATGCTATCAAGTATTTTCAACCTTTGGAAATCTTCGAGAGTTTATTATGTGGAAAGATGTATTAATGCTACGCGTAGGAAATAATAGATATCGATTGAATCGAGTCGAAGTTCGATTTGAGTTCGTGCACTTTTGATCGTTGGAGCAGCAGGGTAGATTTTTACACGCAGCACACGGATCCTCCTTGAAAGGCAATAAGACGCGGCTAGGTTCGTTCTCTTCCGTTCCTTTTCCCTTCTCTTTTTCTTCGGTTCTTTGTATTTACGAGCAATAAAGCCGCGCACACGCGACTCTACGGATCGACGTTATATTACGGGCTGCGCGAATATCGCGGCCGGAGAGCGCACAGCTATCTCTGGCTCGCTTCCGCTTTATCTTCGACGAACAATATCGCCGATAAAACACATTTTCCCAGGCTCCCTCGATGTAGACCGATGGCTACTCGGGCAAAGAGTAATAAATGAATCCATGCTCGTAAAATTGCCTGGCGAGCGAGGAGAAGCTTCTCGAATTCCCCTTTCGATTTCGTCAAGTTGCTCGATACAAGTGGAGTGATCGTCGAAAGATTGCCCGAATCGATCACTGACCTTTGCGCGTTTGATTCGAGAGATTGAACATCCAACGATGTTTAACGATCCTCCGAAGCTAAGTTTTACACGGGAACCGTTCTCTCGGGACAGCTCGGATATTTGCGATGAATAACGACAGAGACAAGTGGATTACAACGTCTTAAACAAGATTTTATTGTTGCGAAGGACGCAAAGAAAGAACACTCGCTTCGGCAAAATCCGGCACGATTATTTTATAAGCTCTCCTCGTTTAACCCTTCAAATTGTTTTTCATTAGCGCTTGAAACGCTGCATCTCTAGTATTACGATAATACAATTACGGCTCTGCTAGCGCGTAAAACATAAGTAAAGAAGAATTTTAATTAACAGGTAATCCATTTAATACCTCCTCTCCGTTCGTTTTTTCTAGCATTTAATAAGTTTTTTTTTATTACTTTATGTTTCTGAGAAAGATTTCGGATCCAGAGTTTCGGAGAATATACGGGAACGTGGGAAACGTGACAGCTGGAAATTTGAAAATACGAGAATTGTAAAATGGCCGAGTTCACCGACCGATATCGAGGAAAATTTCTGAAATCAAAGGCATATTTTAAAAACCACAATCCTCAGAGTGTTCGAGGTTCGTTTCCTTGGCGTTTCGCTCGATTCCGGAGCGATGAATTAAGCGAGGCATTTAGAACGCGATGTGAAGTACGAGAGTCGGGCTCGAGTGTTTCACGATCGCGAGAATTTCCTCGCGGAACGCAAAAAGAAATCCTCGAGGCGAACACAGCCGCGTTCTGTGTTCTAGATTTTATTCGATCGAATATTCCAACGTAAGACCGACCGTGCCGATACGGTTAGTCGGTTCTTTTCAATTTCACCGCGACGAATGGGAAAATAGAACGTAACGCGACCAAATGCGAATTAGAGAGCACTGACGGCGATGTAAATGAAGGGAATGATAGATTGTGCCCTGCTGCGACCAACAAAAGCTGCTTGACTCTTTCGATGGCCGGGAAAATAATGGAAAGATGAAACTGCCGCGAGAGGAAAGTCGAAGGTCGTGCGTGAGAATTCCATGCGTGAGGATTCGACGCGTGAGAATTCCATGCGTGAGGATTCCACGCGTGAGAATTTGACGCGTAAGAATTCGACGCGTGGGAATTCGACGCGTGTGGATTCGATGCGTGAGAATTCCATGCGTGAGGATTCGACGCGTGAGAATTCGATGCGTGAGGATTCGACGCGTGAGAATTCCATGCGTGAGGATTCGACGCGTGAGAATTCCATGCGTGAGGATTCGACGCGTGAGAATTCCATGCGTGAGGATTCGACGCGTGAGAATTCCATGCGTGAGGATTCGACGCGTGAGAATTCCATGCGTGAGGATTCGACGCGTGAGAATTCCATGCGTGAGGATTCGACGCGTGAGGATTCGACACGTGAGAATTTCATGCGTGAGAATTCCATGCGTGAGAATTCGACGCGTGGGAATTCGATGCGTGAGAATTCCATGCGTGAGAATTCCATGCGTGAGAATTCCATGCGTGAGAATTCCATGCGTGAGAATTCCATGCGTGAGAATTCCATGCGTGAGAATTCCATGCGTGAGAATTCCATGCGTGAGAATTCCATGCGTGAGAATTCCATGCGTGAGAATTCCATGCGTGAGAATTCCACGCGTGAGAATTCGACGCGTGGGAATTCGACGCGTGAGTATTCGATGTGTGAAGATTCGACGCGTGAGGATTCGACGCGTGAGAATTCGATGCGTGAGTATCCGACGCGTGGAAATACAGCGCGCTACGATACGGAGCGTGGAGTTACGGGGCATAGGGATAGAACACGTGACAGTACACCGCGTGGAGATACCACACGTGACGATACCCCGCATGGAGACACCTAACGAGACATGAAACTCGATAAACGGTTATCGTTTTCCTTTTGTTACTTTACTCTTGTGTAACATATTTTCGAAAATCTTTTCAGATCTTAACACATTCTACCTGCGTCAATATACTTTTCCTGCAACAACTTTGCTGGTATTAAAAATTTACGTTCATTGATTTTAATGTAGAAATGCAGCCATGAAATTTGCACATAAATTAAAGGAACCGAGCAAGAATGAACTACGAAGACGTATATAATGATTAATCGTTACATTTTATTAATTGATTCCGAGCAATTCATCTTATTATACTCCGAGGAAATGCTTATTTTATAACCGATCCATCTTCTTTCTTCGGAATATCATTCACTCTTATCGCTGCAAGATTAACTTGCAAACGTTTAAAAATTAATTTCAATTACACAGTCGAGAAACCGGTGAATAAATTCGCGCAGGAAAGTTAAACTCCCAGTTAGAAACCACAATTAATCCCGCTCTTATATTCGAGCGAAAACACGATCCGCGTGGCTGTAACTCGACGATAATCCAGAAAACGGCACGGAGGCTGGCATTTTACTAAATCAGTCGCGATAAATCGCCGCGGAGCATATTTCATCGTCGCGCGATTCTATCGAGATGGCAGCCACGTTTCGTGCTATTCTTCGTGGCTCGATTTCCCGCTTGTAACGCGATCGCGAACTTTCTCACCGAAGATTTAACGACCTGCCTCGGTTCTTGCGGCTCTCACCGCCGGTTTTTTGCTCGTTCAAGCTGGCGGCGCGTGCCTAATCATCCTCGTCGAACGATCGGTCGAAAATTCGCGCCGCTAAAACCCGGTAAAAACGCGCTCGAATCAGCCTCGATGGTCGATTACGTGTGAGCTTAAGCGAGTCGAGACGACGTCACGTTCCATCGAGGGGGAATTTGATGGCTCAAATAGAGCACAGCCTACAAAAACGAAAAAAGAATCGTGGAATCGAGTAAGCATTTCGGGTCTTTTGCGGAAAGCGCTTTCTATACGATTGCCTAATTTTATATTTTATACGGAGGAAGATATTAGATGACAGAACTGCCATACGTCGAATTTCATTAAAATCACACTGTGAATTATGCAACGTATCGAGGCTATGTAAAGCAGGATTGTATATTTTGAGTGTAAATGTAGTACGATTGCAAACATTAATACACAACAAAAATAGCAATTTTCCTGAACAAACACAATTCCCGACCATTTCTCGCGCTGAACGTCGGTGCACCGCAACAAAATTCCCAAAGAGAAGCTACTGGAGCAAGTCTCGGGATCTATGGCATCAAAGACGAGCGAGAAACACACGCAAACGAGCGCAGTCGACGAATTTGATCGTCAAGGCAAACAAACCCGTCCCAAGAGCGACAGTAATTTGCAATTTCTGTTGACGCAATTAAAACGGTCCGTGACCGGTGGCTAGTCGACGTTGGCAACCGGGTCGCTGTAACACCGCCAAAAGGATTGTCCGTGGTTGCAACGTGTCCCTGGCTCCGCTTCGCGTGACCACCCTCTCGCCGCTACCCTCCAGCACCCTTTTGCCACGAAGATTAAAAGGGAAACAAAGGTGGAACGGGACGCGAGAAGGGAACGCGACAAAGCGAGGAGCATCAACACGAGGCGGCGCTAGATGAGCGAGCCGTCACAAAGAATATTACCGTGTGTTCGTCATTCGCCAAATGAAGTTGCCGGAACTCGGCGAATAAGCGACCGCGATAATGCTTTGGGGAACGAGGCCGAGGGAGCCTCTGATGGGAACGATACTATTTTTATCTGCTATGGGTAATTTGGGGAACTCGGGAACTGTTTCAAAAAGATACGACGATATGACACGTGGAGATACAAGATTTGGAGATATGGGGCGCAGGGACTCGGACCGTAGGGACTTGGGATATGGAAGTATGAGCGAGGAGATATACTATGCATGGGGATACAATGGGTGGAGATACGGAGCGTGGAGTTACGGGGTGTGGGGATAGGACGCGTGATCCTACGACGCGTGGAGTTACGGGGCGTAGGGATAAGACGTGTGGAGATACAGCGCGCGAAGATACGAAGCGTGGAGTTACGGGGCGTAGGGTTACGACGCGTGAGGATTCGACACGTGAGAATTCCATGCGTGAGAATTCCATGCGTGAGAATTCGACGCGTGGGAATTCGACGCGTGAGAATTCCATACGTGAGAATTCCATGCGTGAGAATTCGACGCGTGAGAATTCCATGCATGAGGATTCCATGCGTGAGAATTCCATGCGTGAGGATGCGACGCGTGAGAATTCCATGCGTGAGGATTCGACGCGTGAGAATTCGACGCGTGAGGATTCGACGCGTGAGAATTCGACGCGTGAGAATTCCATGCGTGAGAATTCCATGCGTGAGAATTCGAAGCGTGAGAATTCCATGCGTGAGAATTCGACGCGTTAGAATTCCATGCGTGAGGATTCCACGCGTGAGAATTCGACGCGTGGGAATTCGACGCGTGAGGATTCCACGCGTGAGAATTCGACGCGTGGAAATACAGCGCGCTACGATACGGAGCGTGGAGTTACGGGGCATAGGGATAGAACGCGTCACGGTACAACGCGTGGAGATACCACACGTGACGATACCACGCATGTAGACACCTGACGATACCATAAAGATCATGTACATCACACATGACTATCCTCACGAATGCACAACGATACCACACGTATCTAGAAACGCATAAAGGCATTAAGTGTTACAATACTACATGAAGGAATAAATTTAGGAAATACCACGCGTGAGGATATAACACATGGAGATACAACACGTGGAAATGCGGTACATGAAGATACCAAGTGTTACCGTGTACGGTGATACAAATTGTGGAAATACCTTGCGTGAAGATGTAACGTTGATGAGCGCGATACAGGACTACTTTGCGCAGCTGCGAGTAATTAGGAAGGCTCGGGTACTGTATGAAGCTGAAGAAAGAGTGGAAGCTAGGATCGAGCAGATAGTCGGTAAAAACGAGGAGCGACGTGGAAAAACTGGACAGAGACGGATAAGGGACGGGATAAAACCTTGAGGAGGGAAGAAAGCAGCTGGGAAACCGATGCACTCTTTTCTGACCCGTATTATCGAATCATTGAACGAAAATAGCGGGATAGATCAAGGTGAAAGTTCGTCTAATAGCGTCAATTTATGATCGATCCTCATTCACCGATACTCGAAGAAATATATTTAGAAGTTTATAAGATTACTCCGTTGCAGAAGCTTACAGTTCTAAAGCTACTATGATCATACGATGAACAGGTTAATAATTATTATACCTTATCCTCCACTTCCCAATTAACGTTCAAAAATGCACCCACGCAAGCGTTGTACAGCAAACACGTAAATATTTCAAGAACGAATGTTCTTTGAAATGGTATCGCAAGTGGATTTGTCACGAAGCTAAGAAAGCGGCAATGGAGATAGGGAACACGTACGAATTAAACAGATAGAGATAACAAAATAGTCGCGTGTTAATGACAAACGACGTAGGCAGATGATAAAGGGCAGATACGTTCTTCACAGTGAAAATATACGACGCGTGGTAAAAATGAAATTCCACCTGCACGACCGATATCGCCGTGGCAGTTTTCTCGTTATAGGGCAGCCCGTTCAGCCGGTGGCTGGCCTTTGCTATCCCGTCACTCATCTCGAACCAGCAGGCTGGCCAACGATCCGCCTACCGTGTATATGAAATTGCTCGGAAGGTGGATACGCGACATGCAATAGAGGGACACGCTTGCCCGCTCCTTTTTCCACCGCCTGTCTGCTTTTTATCGTCCCTCTGATCCGTCTTCGTCCCGGTTTTTATCTGTCACCGGTAGACGCGTCTGTAGCCCCTTTGCAAACGCCTACCTCGCCTTAGTCACTTTACTCTATTCCTCGTTTGTTGCTCGTCTTTCACCGCGGGCTGCGACATAATTTTTATCGTTATCCATCTTCTCACTTTTCTCTTTTCTTCGTATACTTTAAGAAAAATTGCGGAAATGCTTCGGATCTTTTCAGAGAGGCTTTTTATGCGGTTATAACGCGGTGATGCAGGACGTGGATGTACGGTAGAGTATCGTGCGTTGAGCTACGACGCGTGGAATTATAGCGTGTGGAGTTAAATGCGTTGTTCCGATGCCTGGAAGTAACGCGTGGAGTTACGACGCGTGGGATTGCTATGTGTAAAGATGGGGAAGATATGGTGGAGATATGGTGCGTGGAATTACGACGCGTGGAGTTATGGAACGTGGTTTTACGGCGCGTGGAGTTACGGTGCGTGGAGATACGGTAGGTGGAATTATAGCGCGTGGAAGTATTACGCATAGAATTACGACGTGTGGAGTTACAGCGTGGAAAGTGTTTCGCGTAGAGTTATGGCGCGTGGAATTATGGTGCGTGGAGATACGGTACACGGAATTATAACGCGTGGAGTTACGACGCGTGAAATTAGTATGCGTGGAATTAAGATGCGTGGAATTACGACGCGTAGAGTTTTGGAACGTGGTATTACGGCGCGTGGAGTTACGGTGCGTGGAGGTGCGATATGTGGAATTATAGCGCGTGGAAGTATTATAGCGCGTGAAGTTACGACGCGTAGAGTTACGGTGCGTGGAGATGCGATATGTGAAATTATAACGCGTGGAAGTATCACGCATAGAATTACGACGTGTGGAGTTCCAGCGTGGAAAGTGTTTCGCGTAGAGTTATGGCGCGTGGAATTACAGTACGTGGAATTACTATGCATGGAATTACGACGCGTAGAGTTATGGCACGTGGTAATACGGCGCGTGGAGTTACAGAGCGTAGAGATACGATACGTGGAATTATAACGCGTGGAGTTACGACGCATAGAATTACTATGCGTGGAATTAAGATCCGTGTAAATACTACGCGTGGAATTAGGACGCGTATGTGTAACTTGCGTAAATTTACGCCACGTAGAATAACGACGCAGCTGTAACCCAGTTACCACGTACGGAGATATTCTACTTGTAATTCCTACACGTGCAGGTACATCCCGCGGACATATCACGAATAGGAATGCAACTTGTCGAGCTATTATGCACACGATATCACGCGTTAAGTTACGACACACAGAGATTAATATACTAGATCTGATACGTGCTCGAACACGATATGATGATCTAACTCGCCTTATACAACGCGTAGTTATGCAACATGTAGCTACGTAACACTCGGTACTGAGACTGTACTGTCTCACGAAGGGATTGTTGGAACTCCTGAAGTATCAACGAAATGGCCTTCAGCCGAGGTAGGAGAACAATGTCGGTTACTCACCCTTAGGCGGATTGACATGCAGCGCAGATCTGTAGAGGCTCTCCTCGTCGTACCAGTCGGCGTTTCTCAGCAATGTCTTCGCGGACATCAGACAAAGCAGTACAACGGTAGCCAACAGTACCGCTCTTCCTCTTCTTCTGGACCCGTATCTCCTGGCGATTCGGTAGCAGCCAGAAATGGCAGCGCCCATGATCAGACAGGCACCCACGCTCGGTAAATACAGGATCCTCTCGGCTATCACGAATCCCACGTAGAAGAAGAGGTTGCTAGCCGGAAGGAAGGGAAGTACGAGGAAACCGAGCGAGGCCGCGACGCTGATGGCCGCCGTTCGTCTGCCGGCGAAACATGTGCTCCAACTAGTCGGCGAGCCGCTGTTGGCCCTCTTGGCGCAATGACATTCGCCGAAAGGGCTGTTGTTGTTGTTATTTGCGGCTCGACAGCCGTCCGTGTGGCATCCGCCCGTTCGTCTGCCCGCGCAAACGGGACACCTCGACGAAACTGACCGATGGTACGCCTGCACGAGACTCAACGACGTCTCCCTGATCGGTCGACGGAGGGTCCTGACGGCCCACGCGGATGTCACGATCAGCGCCGCGTATAAACAGACCGATTCCAGATTTCTGGCGTCCGTGAATGTCGTTATCCGCGGCACCGCGTCCATCGACCAGTCGAAACTCAACGTGCTGGGGCAAAGTAACATCCTCGCGCTCGCTGCGGGCAGATACAGGAACGTCAGACCTCGCGTCAGACGAGACGGGTGTCTGGCGGTCGGATTGTCCGCGCTGGCGAACTCTGGCCTCGTGCCGGTTATCCTCAGCCTGCCGAGCACCAGCAGGGCCAGACTTCCGGAGAGGATTCCGATGCTGCGGCTACGGGTTAATCCGCAATTCGCCTGCAACAGAAACATTCAACTTGTTAGAACGAATGGGAGCGTGGAGTTACGGGGTGTGGGGATAGGACGCGTGATCCTACGACGCGTGGAGATACAGCGCGCGAAGATACCGAGGGTGAGAATTCGACGCGTGAGGATTCTACGCGTGAGAATTCGACGCGTGAGGATTCGACGCGTGAGAATTCCATGCGTGAGAATTCGACGCGTGAGGATTCGACGCGTGAGGATTCGACGCGTGAGGATTCGACGCGTGAGGATTCGACGCGTGAGGATTCGACGCGTGAGGATTCGACGCGTGAGGATTCGACGCGTGAGGATTCGACGCGTGAGGATTCGACGCGTGAGGATTCGACGCGTGAGGATTCGACGCGTGAGGATTCCTGAGAATTCCACGCGTGAGAATTCGACGCGTGAGGATTCGACGCGTGAGGATTCGACGCGTGAGAATTCCATGCGTGAGGATTCGACGCGTGAGGATTCGACGCGTGAGGATTCGACGCGTGAGGATTCGACGCGTGAGGATTCGACGCGTGAGGATTCGACGCGTGAGGATTCGACGCGTGAGGATTCGACGCGTGAGGATTCGACGCGTGAGGATTCGACGCGTGAGGATTCGACGCGTGAGGATTCGACGCGTGAGGATTCGACGTGAGAATTCCATGCGTGAGAATTCCATGCGTGAGAATTCCATGCGTGAGAATTCCATGCGTGAGAATTCCATGCGTGAGAATTCCATGCGTGAGAATTCCATGCGTGAGAATTCCATGCGTGAGAATTCCATGCGTGAGAATTCCATGCGTGAGAATTCCATGCGTGAGAATTCCATGCGTGAGAATTCCATGCGTGAGAATTCCATGCGTGAGAATTCCATGCGTGAGAATTCCATGCGTGAGAATTCCATGCGTGAGAATTCCATGCGTGAGAATTCGATGCGTGAAAATTCCATGCGTGAGAATTCCATGCGTGAGAATTCCATGCGTGAGAATTCCATGCGTGAGAATTCGATGCGTGAAAATTCGACGCGTTTGGATTCTACGCGTGAGAATTTGACGCGTGAGAATTCGACGCGTGAGATGTCGCGTAGACTTCCAGCGCATGGAGTTACGGCGCGTAGAATTTCAATGCGTGAAGATACCGCGCGTAGAGTTACAACGCGTGAATTACGGCACGTGGTAGTTGGATTACCATCAAACGAGCAAATAAATAGTGTATTGCAAAATATATGGCAATGAGTTCGACCAGACAAATATTAATAAAACCTCGAACAATCTGGACGTTCGTAATTGAACGGAATCTCAATAATAATTGCACACGTTTGTATCAAAGAGCACTGCACCCCCGTTCGCGACCCTTATCTTAATTTAAACGAGACATTCTGGAGTCAAAAGCACCAGGCAAACTAATTTGACCGGGTCAACATCAAAGGCGTCATATTTGTTTCATGTTGGAAACATGAGTTTAAACTTAAATTTTCTTGGTTCATTTTTAACTGTCGGTTTAAACTAGAGGCGTCGTTTTGATCGAAGAAACGCGATGCTTTTAGGTGAAACATCAACCGGTTTTTAATTTAAACGTCTTTTCTTTGCGATCAAACGCGGATTAAACTCTTAGGGTAACACTTTTAAAATTTTTGAACAAAATCCTTTCCCAAAATATTATCTTTGCTGCATTATTGAAAGTGGCTCCTAGTTTTAACGTCAGCTACACGTAGTGAAATATTCAGATTTTCTTGTAAACAAGGAGCTATATTTTGGAAAGGTGACGTTTCAGGGAATATTGTATATTTATATGACCTTCTATCCCAAGGGTGGAAGCGATAGGGTTACTTTCCTGTCAACCCTCATTAATTCAAGCCGTAGATCCTTTAAACGCGCCAAGCAAACCATTCGCAGTTCGTTTCCTCGAATTGCCACTCGACCACGTATATATTCTCACCCTCCTTCGCCCTCTTTCTTCGACTCTCCGGTTCCGGCAACCGTATCCCGGCGCGCATATTTTCTCACCGTAGACAAAGCGAGCGGAAAACGAGCAAGGAGAGATTCCGCAGCAACCCCCGCGAGGTTTCCGTTCCCCGACCACGAGCCACGCTTTTGGCGTTCGCGAAAAACGCCGTAGGTTAACCCGGCGGTGGTACAACGACAAAAGGAAGAACGAAAAAATACATATATATGTCGGTGGTAAGAAAAAAAAGGGAGTGTGCAAGACAGAATAGAAGAATCCCAGAGAGAACGAGTTTCCCGCGTTCATCCACGGTGTCTTGGAAACGCGAAAGACCCTTGGCACCCCTCCAACCCTCGTGGGCTCGCGACATGCATCACCCGGGACGTCCGATGCATCCAGCGCATCCGGGATGCGACACGCCAGAGAAAGGCCTGGAGGTTCCAGTCGAAGGTTCTAGGAGTGACTACGCTGGCTAGGAGGTGGCTGAAGGGTGGTTAAAGCCGTTAAAGCCGGTTCAACTCGTGGCTGGAGATGGCTTACCGTGCATCAGCTCGCTGTCTCCGGCAGATCGTCGAGCTGACTCGCGCTTGCACACGATGCAGCCACCATCGCGTTATCGGTTACACGACTTGTTTGCATTCCGGCAACTACGATCTTGTCGTAAGCCAAGTTCCTAAGCTTTGCTACACTCTGTATCTTACATGGTGGACGTAGGCACGAGGTCTAAATTAAGGATAACCTAGATGGTACATTAGACAAGGGAGATATAAGGGTTTAAGAATATGCAGGACGACTGGGAAGGTACTGATAAGGGTTACAGAAACAGTACATATAAGGAAATCTTGAATTAATGAGAAGGTGAGAGATAGAAATATAATGGAAAAATAAATTTAGGACCCCGAGGGTCACGGCGAGGGACACTGTGAAATGTGCGCGTAGAATTACGACGCGTAGAGTTAGAAAGCGTGGAGGTATTATACGTGAAATTATGGCACGTGGAGTTACGACGCGTGGAGGTACCATGCATAGAATTACGACGCGTAGAGCTGCAGCGCGTGAAATCATGACGCATGGAATTACGACGCGCTGAGTTACGACATGTGAAGGTACCGTGTGTGGAATTATGGCGCGTAGACTTCCAGCGCGTGGAGTTACGGCGCGTGGAATTTCGATGCGTGGAGATACCGTGTGTGGAATTATGGCGCGTAGAATTCCAGCGCGTGGAGTTACGGCGCGTGGAATGGCGCGTAGAATTTCGATGCGTGAAGATACCGTGTGTGGAATTATGGCGCGTAGAATTTCGATGCGCGAAGATACCGTGTGTGGAATTATGGCGCGTAGACTTCCAGCGCGTAGAATTACGGCGCGTGGAATTTCGATGCGTGGAGATACCGTGTGTGGAATTATGGCGCGTAGAATTCCAGCGCGTGGAGTTACGGCGCGTGGAATTTCGATGCGTGGAGATACCGTGTGTGGAATTATGGCGCGTAGAATTCCAGCGCGTGGAGTTACGGCGCGTGGAATTTCGATGCGTGGAGATACCGTGTGTGGAATTATGGCGCGTAGAATTCCAGCGCGTGGAGTTACGGCGCGTGGAATTTCGATGCGTGGAGATACCGTGTGTGGAATTATGGCGCGTAGAATTCCAGCGCGTGGAGTTACGGCGCGTGGAATTTCGATGCGTGGAGATACCGTGTGTGGAATTATGGCGCGTGGAGTTACAGCGCGTAGAATGTCGATGCGTGAAGATACTGCGCGTGGAATTATGGCGCGTAGACTTCCAGCGCGTGGAGTTACGGCGCGTAGAATTTCGATGCGTGGAGATACCGTGTGTGGAATTATGGCGCGTAGAATTCCAGCGCGTGGAGTTACGGCGCGTGGAATTTCGATGCGTGGAGATACCGTGTGTGGAATTATGGCGCGTGGAGTTACAGCGCGTAGAATGTCGATGCGTGGAGATACCCTGTGTGGAATTATGACGCGTAGACTTCCAGCGCGTAGAATTACGGCGCGTAGAATTTCGATGCGTGGAGATACCGTGTGTGGAAATATGGCGCGTAAACTTTCAGCGCGCGGAGTTACAGCGCGTGAATTATGACACGTGAAGATATGACATGTGAAGTTATGACACGTGAAGGTGTCATGTATATAATTACGCAAAGTAGAATTGCAATATAGATTTACAACATAAAGTACCACGCGCAGGGAGTTACACCGCAGGGAGTTACAGCGTAGATCTAAACAAATCTACATAGAATATACAGACCTAGAGTCTCATAACATTCGAACTAAATCTAACTAAATCAATTCCCTGACTCCTCCAAGAAGTCTAACCGTATTGACTGCGATTGAATAAGCTTTGAGACCATAAATACACCGCGCAGGAATTGTGTAGAGCAGACATTGTACACGAGATGGCACGAACATAGCGTCACGCCGGTTGCTTACAATTATCTGCAACGACGTCTACTATGCTGCACTTACGGATAATTGTATCGCGTCACCTAATTGGCCGGCGCTATCAGCTCGGCCTTCCGACTGCGGTGTAATCTGTGCATTCGACTCGACCGTTCGTCTACTTTCGCTCGTCAGCGGTAATTTGATTACCGGACCGGTCCATTTTCAGTTGTTAATATTCGTAATGGCAGGCGGAAGCGCAGCCGACGCAATCCACCGTAATGCTACTCTCGGAACGTTAATTTACGGTAATGCTGCCAAGGCACGTGAGGCGAGTACCGGTTTCGGCAACTTCGGTTCTGATAACGTAGCAGCCGATGAACGTCGGACGTAAGAGGGTTCCTCTCAAGAAGCCTTAATCCTTCAACGGGTCTGAGTGATTGATGTATTGTTAAGGGAAATGAAAGCTGTATAGTGTACGAAATATGGTGGTATATTTCTAGGACTTTATTTTCATATACGGTAAATGGTTTAGTTAAATAAGCAGGAAAAAAGATTGAACGAACGAATCTGTTGCATATGTTCTATGCTTGTAATCCTTCGATAATTTAGTAGTGTATCGATAGTTCAGCAGTGATTTAATAGCGGAAAAATGAGGGTAAATCACGGTGGATCCAAGATACAAGGAAGAGTTTAACGATCAGAGGAGTCGCTGGAAATGATTCAAAAGCAGCAAGGTTGATGGGTCGAATATGTTTCCCTCGCACTTTGAAAGCACGGCTAAAACGAAAGTTTGTAAGCCGGGCGAGATAGAGTTGTAAAATGTGTAGCCTGCAGATGAGAAACAGCTTGGTAAATCCGGAAGCGTATCCCAGAACCGGCGGTAGAAGGCATACGCTCGATATTCTCTCAGTCGCGTCCTCGCCGAGAATATTTAGCCGTGGGAGTTGGTTAACGAGATACTTAGCACGTTCTGACCGTGTCTCGTGCGCGTAAACGATAAAGAATAACGAACAACTAATTACTAACGAAACTTTATATCGTAAAACTTTTCCAAGAGCGCTCTATCTGTTTAGAGAACCAACAACCCTGCTTCTTTTCTTATTTTCTTGATTAAATCCGCTCGGCGAAACGCCGTTACGGAAGGAAAACTTGACTGGCGACGATAGTTAAGTTTTAGTAGACGATAGAAATAAATTTCCTTGTTCGAGCTGCTACGTTTATTTAGTGCGTTGGAGAAACCCGCCGCTCGGGGAATACAAAGAGAGCTCGAAAATTTCGCAACTTGGAAACTCGCGAATTTAGGGATTCGGACTGGTGGGAATGCGGAGATTTGCGGATTTAAGGCATTTGGAGGTGAAAAGATTTGGGGGCCTAGGAATTTAGGGGTCTAGAAATTTGGGGAGTTTGGAGTTTGGAGGTGTAAGGATTTGGGGACTCTGGAGTTTGGAGGTCTAAGGATTTGGGGACTCTGGAGTTTGGAGGTCTAAGGATTTGAGGACTCCGGAGTTTGGAGGTGTAAGGATTTGGGAACTCTGAAGGTTGGAGGTCTAGAAATTTGGGAACTCTGAAGTTTGGAGGTCTAGAAATTTGGGGACTCTGAAGTTTGGAGGTCTAGAAATTTGGGAACTCTGAAGTTTGGAGGTCTAGAAATTTGGGGACTCTGAAGTTTGGAGGTCTAGAAATTTGGGAACTCTGAAGTTTGGAGGTCTAGAAATTTGGGGACTCTGAAGTTTGGAGGTCTAGAAATTTGGGAACTCTGAAGTTTGGAGGTCTAGAAATTTGGGGACTCTGAAGTTTGGAGGTCTAGAAATTTGGGAACTCTGAAGTTTGGAGGTCTAGAAATTTGGGGACTCTGAAGTTTGGAGGTCTAGAAATTTGGGAACTCTGAAGTTTGGAGGTCTAGAAATTTGGGGACTCTGAAGTTTGGAGGTCTAGAAATTTGGGAACTCTGAAGTTTGGAGGTCTAGAAATTTGGGGACTCTGAAGTTTGGAGGTCTAGAAATTTGGGAACTCTGAAGTTTGGAGGTCTAGAAATTTGGGGACTCTGAAGTTTGGAGGTCTAGAAATTTGGGAACTCTGAAGTTTGGAGGTCTAGAAATTTGGGGACTCTGAAGTTTGGAGGTCTAGAAATTTGGGAACTCTGAAGTTTGGAGGTCTAGAAATTTGGGGACTCTGAAGTTTGGAGGTCTAGAAATTTGGGAACTCTGAAGTTTGGAGGTCTAGAAATTTGGGGACTCTGAAGTTTGGAGGTCTAGAAATTTGGGAACTCTGAAGTTTGGAGGTCTAGAAATTTGGGGACTCTGAAGTTTGGAGGTCTAGAAATTTGGGAACTCTGAAGTTTGGAGGTCTAAGGATTTGGGAACTCTGAAGGTTGGAGGTCTAAGGATTTGGGGACTCCGGAGTTTGGAGGTCTAAGAATTTGGGGACTTTGGAGGTCGAACGTCTAAGGATTTGGGAACTCTGGAGGTTGGACGTCTAAGGATTTGGAGACTCTAGAGTTTGAAGGTCTAAGGATTTGGAAACACAGATGTTTGGATGTCTCGTGATTTGTGAACCTACAAGTTTGAAAGTCTACAGATTTGGGAATACAGGAATTAGGGGTCAACCTATATAGAAAGAAAGCTTTGGAATTTGTAGATTTTCGCATTTATAAACTTGGGAACCAGTGAAGTTGTGAATTAGGTAATCGAAGAGTGAAATTTGGAAACTAGCACCAACATTTAGCTCCTTGGAAATTCGAGCACTCATACAAACTTAAGCTAAGAAATTCCAGTATCCCCCTTCCAAATCCAAGAACCTTCGACGAACCCAAGAATGTGATGATTCTCAGGACGTAACAATTTCAGTGTCTGACCGACTATAACCAGGAAATTACGTAATACGGGATTATCTAAAGGCGGTGCTCTTACCTTTCGATTCGACTCGCCGCGACACAATTCCCAGAGGAGGCACAAAGCCAGCGAGGATATCCCGGTCTCTTTGGCGAGCGTGGCCAGTGTCGACGAAACGATGGCCAGCAACAGAGGAAACGGTGATCTTGTCTGTTCGCAATGGACACAATATGCCAGGAAGGCTGACAAGGTTAATAAGCAGGCGAGCAGATCGGCGCGACCGACTATGCCGGCTACTGCTTCGCTATGAATCGGATGAACCGCGAACAGGAAGCCGGTGATCGCGTGTCCGAGGTTGTTTCTTCCTGGCAGAACCTGCATCACAATTTTATATCATAACATTAATTAGAACTGTCTTAATTTTTGGACACTTTGGTCGGAACTTGGTTAAATAAGATTTGAAAGTGTGTTGGGAGACTGTTCTTCATATGATACATGTGTTTTAGAATTGATGTGTTCGTTGTATGTGATATGTTCATTCAGAGTGACTTGAGATGTCTTTCAAATTTGATAGTGTCTTTCGGACAACTTTAAGTTTGTGTTAAAACAACTTCTACAGAATAATTAGAAAGAATAGGATCACATTTAGGGACCTAACACGATGATGATACATGGCAATTCCTATGAACATCTTCCCTCCCCTACTTTTTAACTATTTTCAAATTCCGCTTCATTCAATCTCCAAATTGATCGATATCAAGTTTTACGACATAATTCGCGAAAGCAGTAAACCATATTATTACGAGAGAAATTCTTTCGGACGTAAAAAGGATCAATGAAAATTGTGACGTAGAAGTATGAAGTTACCTAGTCGACGAATTTTCTGCTATCAAATTTGATTACGTTTTGCACAAATAGGTAGTAAATATAGGAATAGAATGAAAGTAATTTCGCGTAGCTCGAGGAAAGGATACCTGGCCTACGTTGTTGGCGAAGATTCAACGTGACACAGGTTGAAAGCTCGAACAGAACGGAACATCGGATTTCCTCCGGTAATCCCATTTCCATTACGATAACGGTGACAGGTGACACGCGCCGCCGCGCCGTCAAAAGAAGAAACACGCGTCGTTCAATTATGAATGGTAATATTCCGGGATTAAATGGACCGGTAAAATTTTATTTCCAACGCCGCTGAATAACGTCCGGTATTATCAAGTCCGGCTGACATACGTTCTACAGGTGTCACTATTATCTCGTTTTGTACCGTTCTGACGTAAAATCCCGGCAACGGGCGACACCGTTAATCGAAAACCCAGAACGAATCTCTCCTTTCCGAACCTCTTGTTTGAATAACCAATAAGTTCTGACCACCGTGTCCATTTCGGTAATTGTATCATATACGAGTCTGTAATTTACCTTCCTCGCGACCTTCACCACGAGTACCGTGCAGGCGGCGTGCAACGCGACGTTCACCAAATGGTAACCCCACGGTTCCAAGCCACCCAGGAGATGATTCAATCGAAACGTCGCCACGCAGAGTGGTCTGTAACTTCCGTGAGAACCTTTGTCGTTCAAGGGCGTGCCCCAGAAGTCGTTCTCCAGCAACCGGGACCACGGCGTGCTGGATAGGAGGTCTGGATTCGTCAGGATGGCCCTTCTGTAACATAAAACGAAGACTTTGTTAAAGGATAAAACAACTACTGTTGTTAGTTGTTATGGTAATCAGGACAGACGTTTGGTCGCTGTGGATTACTAGATCTAGATGTAGATACCGAATATGGACTCTTTTGATTCCTACGCTATCTCAAGACCTAATTCTCCAAATCTTAGGTTTCGTAGGTTCTTATTTTGGACTCTCCCGAATTCTAGGCTTCCTCGATTACTATATTGAGGTTGGTGTCTCCCGACGTCTGATGATGGGTCGACGTCATCGTAGTTTCAATGAGAACTTTATAGTCCAAATGTCTGATGCTGACGTCTGAATACAGATGATTTTTGCTCTGATCATGAGATCCCCATTTTAGACTCCACTTTAGACTTCCTAGAGTTAGCCGATTCGTAGATTTGGGCGATCTCCATCTGCAGTCGTTAGACTCTAGGCTCTCTAAACTGTACGATTAGCGGCGACCGCTAATATCGAAAATCCGATTAAACCCAAGATTAGTGAAATCCAATCAAATTAGATCTCGCAATACGCTCGAATTAATGGAATTCTGTTTAAATGGAATTTCGGTCATTAATCACAAGTACAAGTATAAACATCGGATGCGGTATCTCTGGAAATTCGAGCAGGCGGTATCGGTGTTGTTCGTCGCGCAAGCAAGCAAATGCCTCGGCCCGCGGCATTTTAATCGACCCTGCCGATCGATATTCATGAGCATCGATGGAACCTCGTCCCGATGTTTCGGTTCGTCTCGAGACTTCAATACCGCAGGCGACGCACCTGAACCATCGTCGTCGGGGAAATGGAACCGGGCTCGATGAACACCGGGCCAATAATTTCGAATTCCATGTCCTTCCAATAAGCCGTACTCGCCTCGCCAGAATCGTGTTGCATTTTCTACGTGAGATCGCACATTCCTCCTTGATTCGACAGCGGAAACAACGGCCGGAGATGGATTCTTCTTGCGAGTAGGATTTAAATCGTGCAGCTGTTCCGTGACTGCCGAATCGAATCGATGAGTGGTATAACGTTCTCTCATGGAACATTCCTCTTCCGCTATCGGTTCATAACGCGCACGTTAAATCACGATAAAAATCCCCGATGTGTACCGAGTTGAAATATTTGAGGGAGATATAGTTAATTAATTTCCAGATTTTTACTTCTAATCTCGCTATTGCTGAGCGTTTGCGTGGGGCAAATAATTCATTGGAGTTAATAATTTATGAGTGTGCTGATTAACCCCGCCTCGCACAATAATGTTGAATATTCTAATTTAATTAAGGATCACTGAACGCAGTACTGCTTACTGTTATTTATTGAAATTAATTTATTAATAGGTTTACTCAAGTTTTATACCGTATTATACGTTTTTATATTATTGCACAAAATTCGGACCTCACGCGTAATTAAACAGCTTTAACGCAATTAAAACTGAGAACTGTTGTTTCAAGCGGTGGAAAGAAGATATGGCTCGAGAAACCACTGACAAACTAACGAAGGTAATTAAACTTGGATCCCTCAGCAATTAGCTGATTTATGAGGCAATCTTATAGTGTATATAGAATCATGATGTGCTTTAGTTTAATTCTGCTGCGCCAGGCGGTCCATCTTTTCCGAACACTTCGAGCGGAGGCTATCCGACCATCGATTAACTTTGGTAATCGATTAAGCTTTGAAAACGGTACCGGCCGCGTGCAAATGAATTACGACGATGCCGTCCTGGTCCACGGAATTTTTTTTGCCTCTTTTCATCCTGTTACGTCGACCCGTCGAAACGACGTTGTTCACCTAGCGTGGATAATAAAAACTTGCAAAATTGCGGCGAAAAGGCTAACGATTAATCTTCATTCGTGCCCATCGCAGGGTTTCGAGTATTTTCCTCTCGATGGCTCGAAAAGTCGAGAGCACTTTTCTGTGTCCATTTCAACGGAGAACTTTCGCAGCTTGAGCACTTTGCGCTTTTTGAACTTTGGGTCTTTTTCAAAAACTTGACACTTTGACAAGCTGGGACATTATGGACGTTTGGGCTTTGAGATATTTTAAAGTTTGAGATTTTCTAATTCAGAGAACATCAGTCTAGAATTTTGGAGAATTTGAGATCTTCAGAAATTAACATATTTAATTCCTACGTTTATAAGACAAGGAATGTTCCAATTTGATTTAGCAGCCATTACTTGTAATTGGATTTAAACTCGCAATCTTCAAGTTTGCTCCATTTCAATATTTTATAGTAACTCGATATTATAAGGGATGTGATTTAAGAATAGACCTCCTGATTTAAAAAGTTTGAACCTTAGAACATTAGTAAAATTATGGCTTCCTACTTCTGCCGTTCCCTAATTGAACGACGAGATAACTCGTCATCGCCATTTAACATGCTCGCGAGTACGTTCCGTTACTCCGACAAGAATCGATTATAAAATATACGAAAACTTTCAGCAGGGACCGTAAATCGAACTTTCTTGGATGACCGTTTTCGTCGAAAATACCGAAGTTGCGAAAGTTGAAAATTTTTTACATATCTCAGAAAAAAGTGGTTTGTAAAGGTTCGACAATATCGAGCACCTGCGACTAACGGAAGTCAATTTCACAGGCTAATAGATTTCCGCTGAAGAAATCCTTCGTTAACACTTTGCTCCTTTTAATCTCTCTCCAACCTGTGAGTAACTTTCGCGTTAGTTATTACAAGTTTTTCGAGATGTAAACGTAAGATTTATGTCACAAAATTTCATTTAGAATTCGGTGCAATTCTCCCTCGATTTTCTGTAGGGCCGACGTATTTATACGAGCGATAGGATGGCACCGTAAACTTCTCCCCTGCGCGTGAAATTTCGCAAAAGAAACAACATTTTCATGAACGTATTCAAGAAATAAATCGCGAATTTCTTTTTAATATCGGAAAAGAAATTATTCGAACTACCTTCGTAACATATGCTGCAAAGTTATCGGTTCCTAAATTGAACGCAGCATAGGTTTTCGCGTAACTTCGGTTATGCAAAGACGATCAAACCGTCGCTTATTTATCGTTAACGTTAATCGATTCACTCGTGCGCATAACGTTAGCAGCATTGTTCGACCGGAATCATGAATGTTTAATGAAAATTCTCTGCCCCGGGGAAATAAATAGTCACGCGAACACGTGTTGCAATAAAATTGCATCTGCGAAATCGCTCTCTGATCGCGAGTAATTTCAATGTTGTTACGCCGCTAATTGTTGCAAGCTCGCGATTCTCACGAACGCGTCAAAGCGAGCAATGTGCTTGGACGCCTCGCGAATTCGTAACTACCGAATAACTCCGCCATTTTGGAACATTTTTCCTTTCTACCGATTCGAAGTTCAACATTTCATACGTTGTCCTGATTTAAACATAATTGCGCGTGGAATTTCAAACGGAACTGTGTACACGTTCAGAATTGATTTTCAGGAAATAAAATATTTTCTTCATGTATTTTTGACTAGTTTCAAATTTGTAACGATATAAATAAATCCAGAAAAATTCTACGAAATAAATTTTATTATGTAAATGTTATTTATATAGTAAAAATCGTATCCACATAAATTTGCAAATAAACCAGCAGCTTCCATATGGAAGTACTGTTGAAGAGCATATCGTTTTTCTGACCGAACTGGTCCGCCATTCAAGGCATAATTCATGGTATTAGCGGTAGGCATCGGTGATATTAAGTGTCTGTCAGAACTGTCACGAAACCGAGATACTCTTCTCGTCTCCGTGTCGGTATGTGTACACGTTCTCGCGGTGTTCCCACGGGACTATTTCTGACAGTACACGTGACGTTAATGAAAGTTGGTCGTCGGTCTAACGGAGCAACTCGGAACGTGACTGCACGTGGAGGGTTCAGGCTGGAAAGGGTAGAGGGTCGGTGTTCTTGCAGCATCTCGAGCCGAGGCTAATACCGGACCAACCCCTTTAAGCCATCTCGTCGGTCGACTTACGTAAGTCCAGGGACGTCGATTCAATTTTCCGTGGCTTTTGCCCGAATCGAAAAGCGCTTAGCGACTGCTACAATTAGAAATATTGACCCTGCCTCTGGCGCGAAAACGAATTTAATAAATTGTGCCACCATCGATTTAATCTCCTTCGCCGTAATGGCGAATTCAACTTTTTCCTCGTATTCTTACTTGTTATATCGCCGGTTTTATACGTCGTGTTTACGCGCGATGCATTTCGAGGTAAATGTGTTAGTTTCACGCTGTAACTCGCGTTGGTATTCCTATGCTTTAATATTTTTATGTGTTGTGCGCGCTATTTGCATGCGCTGCATTTTCACGCGTCGTGTTTCTGCATTTCGTATCAGATTATTTCTAAAAATTGTAGAATATTTTCTCTCAATTTGACAATGACTCTAGTAATATAAATTCACTTTAACCAACTGCACTATAGACGTGTATAGAGGTGCAGAAATAGATGCTGTAGAGAATTATATACCGTACACGCAAGTCGAGTGCACATGTGTGTCAAGGACTATCAATACGGTGAAAAAGCAATTTCGACTCAGGTTGTTAACTCGAAGCCAATTAGAGAGCTTCCTCTTATCGTATCACGGTGGGTCGTAAGATCGGGAAGGTTCCCGAAAGTTTCCGTAAGGAAAAACGTTTTCCACTAGTTTAGAAGAGCTTGATCTCGCGAGACGGTGTGCGTGTTCTTTACGACTAGAGACAGAACGGCCACTCTTCTCCGTTGCCGTCACACCTAGCGACCATGACTTAAGCTTTACTTTGGAAATTGCACGAGGGAGAATAGGCGAGTAGAAAGCATCGATGGGCGTGCGGTGTGCCGCTCGAACGAGTCGGCTGCGGCCGAGAGGCTCCCAAAGACGGTGTCCCAGGGATGGAATGAGTTTTCCGGACGATTTAGTCAGGTATTTATTTGCTCTTCCCTCGCCAACATCTTCGCGGTTCGGGGACCATCTTCTGGGAAATGCCCGACGTAATATAGCGTCGTCGAGGTTCGCGTCCTCTCCTTCCCCGTTCA